AATCATTTTTTCAATATACCTTTACCTATGCATGATGATTACTGCACTACCTTTGTCTAAGTTTAAAACGAATAGCTTATTTTAGTGCCAATATTCAGAAATCTTGTTCAAGTCGTAGGATTTATTTGAAATAGTCAGCTATTAAAAGTGAGTAATCAATTATGCTTCTATACCATTCATAGTCTCTTCTCACAGTTTGTCCCTCAAGTTAGTTAATAAAACTACTATCTACGTTAAATGATCCTGCTTATCTGAAGGGCAAATTTTAGACCTATTTCTAAAAGGAGCCTGGCACTATCACCTATAGGTATCCTAGGTAAATTAATGGTCTTTTATTTTGCTAGAACAAATAGCACTAAGTTTATTTATCTTCTTATTGTATCAACTATTCCTTGAGTTGATTTTAATACCTAAATTTCTTAATTGTATATTATGTCGGCGTCCGGGAATCTTATCCATCATTTCGGAAAGACCGTCCTCTATATTCTGTAATTTGAGATAGTATTCTTGACAAAATATCAAAAGAAAGGATTTTCTAGTCCTGGTGTTAGTTCGAATCAGGTCAGATCTATACGTTCTTTTAGTCTAGTCTTAACCAAACCACTTGATACCTGTTCCCGTTTCCTCTTAGTAGAAATAGTTATATCTGAACGATCGCCAAGATAGAGCTTTTTGGTTTTCCTATAGCCAGAATGTGAGTTTTCTTTTCTCAATAGCTTGATTATTGTTGTGAGGATGCTACCTTTCTCGGATGCTGCCCGTCACATGACAGATAAAAGCTTACCATGCCTTCACCGCATCCGTAAGAGATTAGCTTGGAAACAGCGTCAACAAGATTGATCTAGCAAAGCCAAGCGACGACTGGTCAAGAGGAATATACCATTGTCTTCTGGTTGGATTGACCTTCGAATCTTTTCACCAAACTCTATTACTCAAAATTGAAATGAGCTCCAAAATAATGAATCTTCGAAATCCATCTTTTCTTCGCATATATAAATGAGTAAACTACAATCTAGGCAGCTATCATAAATGTATTCTGGCAATCTCCTGAAAACTATTTCTGATAATTTATACAAATAATCGACTCTTATATCGCCCTTTCATTTTACTCTTACGCTTTTCCCAATATATGTTCTTGCAAATGCATGTCCTCTCCCTGTAATTATAATATATTGAAATAAAAATGAAGATACTATAGCTTGTTCAAAGCCATTTGGGGTAAGTTTCTTTCAGATGATATGAGTAGGTCACAAAATGCCATTGAAGTACACCAAGTTTTGCCCTTTTAAAGGCTCTCTCATCCAAAACTGACTTAATATAGACTTAATATAGGATATAGAATTGGTGAATAGCCCAGGGCAAATGGAGAGATACCAAAATTGTTTACAGACAATTGGTCGAAGGATCGGGTTCACTTGTCTCTTTAATGAGTTGTAGTGCGATGCTAAGTATGGCAAGACTCACTGAATATGCCGGCGAAACGCCTGGGAATGTACCACTTTCATGGTCCAACTCTGGAAATTATCATGCGTACAAAGGACTCTGGACTAGGGGCGTTTCTCTAGCTCTTCATACCGATACGAATAATTTACGAAAACAAGGTAAAAAAAAGTTATATATAACGAAAGGAGATCGCGACCATATAAAAGGCCACACAATCTTGGTCTTCATACATAAGTTGCGCATGAGCAAGTTTCTAATCCCATTTGAAAGTTTATAAATTGCAGATGAGGTAAGAATTGCATCCACCCTGGATAGGGGAGTCTATTGATAAAATAAATGAAATTATATGGCATTGTGGGCCTTCTCCTCATTTCATTATGTTAAACAGATATACTAATCCTATTCATCTTTAGCAAACTATGGTGATACTTGTTCTCTTTCAATATATACTGATCCATTCACGGAATAGCTTATACCTTGATCTACATATATTTTACTTTAGTAAGATCTATCATGTGTCTATTACTATTCTTTATGATGTTTCCAAGAAGAAGTAATTGTTTAAAGACTCCTTGTTTCCTTATAACCTTAGTGTCATTAAAGAAGTCTTTTAGTTACCTTAATCTTATGCTTTTAGTGTGGCTTTCATGAGGGTTGAGCAAATTAATCACATTTTGAAACTGTTTCATACAGCTTGACAAAATGAAGGGGACCCTTACTTTTTGTCAGGAAAGAGCTCAAGCTTGCAGAATAATATTCGAGCTCTTTCTTCTAAAGCAAAGGTAATGGTAATGAGTAAGAGGAACTCTGTGCCATTACGATGTGGTCTAACCTCGTTTTCGCAACTTCATCGTGTTGTCAGCGGGACTTAGTTTGGTGCACCTTATCCAAAGTCCTCTATTATAATAGTTATAATATTTCCAAGCGTTGGACCGCAGACTTGGTACATTCTCAGATTCTTTGCCGGTATCATATTCGACATCATCATTGAATCCTGCCATTCTCATCGCCAAGCTACAACTTGTCAAAGAGACAAGTGAAGTAAATACCCTGACCAATTTGTTTCTTTGACGAGTTGTAGCTTGGTGTTTAGACTGGCAAAACTCACTGACGATGCCGAATACGATTCCTGCAAAGCGTCTTAGAATGTACCAAGTCCGCGGTCCGACGCTTGGAAATATGATACATACTACAACAGAACTATGAAGAAAAACTGGGTTTCCAAGTAATTAATAGTAGTATATTATGACATGACTTTCCATTTCAAAAGAAAAATTGGTTGAAAATAATTCGTGATATGGTCTCCTGTAAACTAAAGGAGAATGTTTATTTGGAGAAGACTGTTGTATTTTGTGCGGAAGTCAACGTTTCATCGTCCTGCAACTCCGACGAACCTGTGCTTAGGTTTCGTCTGTACTGTGGCAGATAGCATCCGCGCAAGAATTCCTACATTACGAAATGGAGCAAAAATGTATAAAGATAAATTACCGTATTTCCTTATGTATAAGCCACCCTTTTTTTACAAAATTTCGAAGCTCAAAAAGTAGGGGGTGGCATATATAAAGCAGGTACACGTTTTATGCGTAAAAAATGCATAAAATAATAAAGTAGGAATCAACTCGTTTTTCAGCAGTATGTTGTACTTTTTTTAAACAATTGTAAGTGATAATATGATTACGAGACGATATTCTTGACCCCATACTTGAATATTAGAAGACGATGATGTCCGGCGGCATTAAAATCAAAAACAACAACGAATATATCTCTTTATTACTCTTACACCGATGACACAAGTGAAGTGCGAGTACGCGATAGAAATGCATACGCTCGGCTTCGGCCGGAATGCTTCGTTCCTCCTCTCGTTCCGATGCATAGATTGCTGGCGGGTGCACCAATCCTTCTCCCCGGCATGAATAGTGGTGCAGCTCCGTCGAACCCTCTTTTTTTTGTTTTTGTCTTCGTGCGACTTGCAAGCGTTGTACACAGTAATCGGTTACTGTGTTATTTCGAAACTACAAAATTGCTGAACAAATGAAGAGACACGCCTACATTGGAAGCTTTAGGTTAAAAGTCATTAAGTTTGCCAAAGAATTTGGCAATCATGCAGCTGAGCGAGAGTTCGGACCTCCACCAGATCGGAGGACAACCATCAGATGGAGGAAGGAGGAAGAGAACCTTCGGAAAATGCCAAGGATGAAAAAGGCATGTCGTGGGAAGTCTGCCAAGTGGCCACATTTGGAGAAGG